GTTTATTTTTGTTGTTAATTTCTTTGCTTCATGTCTTCTATTGCATTGGTTTTATTATACTTAAACCATGTAGTTTAATTAATGTAATATTCACGATATATATGATGCACTAAAATCACCCTAACAAGTGTACTAGTTGCTTCAAGTAATATAATGATGAGGTATGAGGTATTAAGGTATTAACTTCACTATAATCAATCAATATAAATTTTGAATTAATATACTTTTAAAACCAATTTATTAATTGTTATTGCATGTGATGACAAATTTCTCTAAATTAACAAACTAGTTTTCTTAAGTCAAGTTAATTCTTCACTTGTTTGTTAAATTAATCCCATCTCTATATAATTTTAAAGAAATTAATGAGTATTAAATTTTTTATGGAAATGTTTAGCTTAAGAAAGAGGAGCTCTTAACTTTCTTCTCTTCCTCCGTTACCACATGTGAGTTAATTACCTCTCGGTCTCATAGTCTAACACACGATTTATATTATTATTGGTCTAATTATGCAATTCTTTCTCAAGTTTATGCATAAATCACTCAATCAATTGAAAGATGATCAGGTTTTCAATGTATTAAGTTTGATAATATAAATTTTTCATGCAAATAACTTTAATTGAAAGCATAAAATCACAAAATTTATATTAAATTGATTGGACTACATTGTAGTCATAGTAGAATAAATTAGTTCATAATAAAAATAATAAAACTTGAAATTATAGTTATGGACATTCAAATATTAAACAATAGATAAAAAGAATTTAAAGAAAAACAAAACTCAATCTGAGGAAGTTAAACTCTTTGATCTTTTATTGTTAATGAATCATTTATCTCAATTTTCAAGAATACTCAAAAGAGAGCTGTTACTAGCTTTCACCAAGCTCTCATAATTTTGAATTTGGATGGGTATTTATAAGGTTTTAGAAACCCTAATTAAAGTAAGATTTAAAACAGAATGGGAAAGTTGAATGTTGGACGCACGTATGGTGTTAATACCCGAATTGCGTGTCGACACAAAACTGGAAACAGAAAGTTCGATTCTGGATTATTAATGCATGGTGTCGACACCCAGATTATGTGTTGACACTACACGTGTCGAGTTTCTGGCTTCCTTTTGCAATTTCTTCAATGGTAAAATAACAGGTCTGTCCTCCAGATTTTGTACAATGAGTACTTAGATCATAGTAGTTTAAAAATCTGATCATGGCAATCAAAGGAAATAGTTAAATCATAGTAGTGTATACACTTTTCAAATTTTAAATAAAATTAATTCCTACACTTAAACAAGCTTTACTAAAAAATTTACAACAAAAAAAAAAAAAAAGTATGAATCCTATTAGCTGACATTCCAAAACCCCATCATGGTTTTCATCTTTCAAGAAATCCATCAAACATCATTTTCCAAATTTCTCCCAACTCATCCCAAAATCAAAATAAAAAATTAAAAAGGGCAAAAAAGTCAAGATGTATATTTTCAACATTAATATCCTTGTATTTTCTAATGCGAGTAAGTATAATTTTTTGTATTGATCTAATTATAAGAGGAAGAACCTGTAAAGCTGAAATGAAATTTATTTATGAATTAGATAAGGACAAAATTTTAGATATGCTTTAAATCAATTTTAGTTCTAAAGATTTATTAATTAGGGGCAAAAAAAAAAAATAGTCATGCTTAGCTTCTTGCCTGCATATATAAATAATGTGCAAATGAAATTCAATTGTAACTCTCAATTATTTCATTCATTATTTAATAATTAAATCTAAAATCTCATTTATTTTAACAATTTATTAATATTTTAATTAGAGAAAATTTATCCCATAGGTTACATTTTGAGAGAGTTTAATTTAATGGTTAGCTTATTAACTAATAATTTAATTTAATTTTTAGTTTAAAAAGTTAGTTTTTATTCTAAATTGTTTATAAACTTTGTAAAATATTTTAGAATATTCTACTGTATAAAATTTCTATTAGTTTTAACAAAAAATAATCGAAAAGTTAAATTAAAATTAAAACGAAGTATTCCTAGTCAATAAAGTAGTTTATGACAAACTGTACAAACTATTAAAACATATCAATAATTATAGTTTGTTTTTTATACAAAAGAGAATTGTCAAAAGGAAAAACTCAAGTAGCATGTGATAAAAGTTATAGTTTTTTAAACAGTGATAATGAATTTATTATTCTCACAAAATTAGTTTTATTTCAAAATTAATTTCAACCAGTAAATTCACAAAAATTATAATTGAAAATCAATTTGATTAAACGGAATAAAACTACTTTTAGAAAGTTAATAGATTAGAATAAA